TATATTATATTATTATATATTTGTATATATTTGTAGTACACGTATGTCATACTTCATATTAACATGTAAGGATATGTGGGGACATTAGTATACCCTTACTATGCAATGAAGTGTATACTGAAGATAAACAAAAAGACTAAATCGAAGTGTTCTGACACGCAGTCGAACATATCTACCACCATGTGTTCGTATGTCATACTTCATATTAACATGTAAGGATATGTGGGGACATTAGTATACCCCTACTATGCAATGAAGTGTATACTGAAGATAAACAAAAAGACTAAATCGAAGTGTTCTGACACGCAGTCGAACATATCTACTCACCATGTGTATTCCATATTTGGAATCCGTCAGTCCGTCCCAAACAACAGAGTCCAAGAGTTGAGCTCCACCGTATGTAGGCATTTGACGCGCGAGGTAGAATGGAGCGTTCGACATGCTTTCCATACCTCCCGCACAGATGACGCTCTGTTATTCAGCACAAATACTGGTTATATTGAATCATAACATTCTTCCACACAGATACTACCATACGACATACATTTGACCGATAGACTATTTCAAGAGAAGATGGTTAGGATTCAATCTACTCCGACAATGTATAGGGACCTCAAAAAGTACGCAGAAATAGCACTACGTGCGACTCAGAGTCGTTGAGTAGGATGAGGGGAAGATTGAATATGTTTAAAATCACCGTATTGTCACCAACGGCACCAAATCAATGCTGGATACTGAAAACCATGGCGTAACTTTAACTAAACCTTCATCATACAAGCTGGGGAACGTGAGAGTCAAAAATCTTTCGCAACTTAGTGAACTTGTATAGTACAACTCTCTTCCATATGGTATTTGCCTCCACATACAAAAGTTTGGTTGCACGACCCCCGGCTAGGCATGCTATATGCGCCATAGGACTGAATATCGTACCTGGTAAACAGCTGTTTTAGACAGTTGCCAAATTTACTACGTTCAGCTGTAACACCTGTCCAATGCTTAGCTGCCATGCCACCTGAAAGAATCACGAATGCTGAGATACTACCAGGTTGCCTAGACAGAAGCAGTCGAGATGCAGATATAAGGTTCAAATCACGGACTTTCCGGTCAGTAAATTCGCGCTCTAACCACTAAGCCATCTCGAGCTCCTAAACTTATTACGGCACTTGCCTATGCATAGTAAATGTGCAGTGTCAGCACTGAAAGCGCATTTCTCGAACCCACTAACATAGGTGCCCTTTGTTCTCCAGTTTACTCAATGTTCCAATCAAAGGCGGTTGTCTACCAGTGTCATAACTGCCCGTGAGTATCATAAACCTAGAAGCGCCCCCAGAATGCCACTAACTGAGAGCATGGGGCGACAACAAGCCTGTCTGTCTCCACGGAACAACGCCTATAACGAATGGTGTTAACTGAATTTAGGGTCTCTATGAAGCATCGAGTTCAGATTAAATGGCATAATGATAATATAGCTGCAGCGCTAACGTTGGATATCTGAACCAATGGATAGTCAACATATTACTTGGGTGCACAACATTAAAATGAAGACTAACTTGGTGGCCCAAAGCGATGCTTTGGGCAGCCAGCATGATGGATTTCATCCCGCTGGCGCAAATCTTGTTGACAGCTGTGCATGGAGTCGACAAACTCAGACCACCCATTAAAGCGGCCTGTTTAACAGGAGCTTGTTTCGAACCGGCAGAAACAACCTAGTAATGGGGAAATGTTGACTAAAGAACACCAACCACACCCATGAAACATTCTTGTACGGCGTTCGGATCGATTTTAGCCTGCTTCAAAGCTCCACGGATGGCGAAAGAACCAAGAACGGGGGCGGAGCACGGTGCTAGACTCTTCTGAAATGATCCGATAGGTGTCCGCGAAACCCCGAGGATGACCACATCCTATACGATAATCAATGAACATACAACGCCTTTACCTCAAGAGAGAAATTGGACTTCACGGAGAATGGGCACCGATTTCCAAGCAGCCACGATGTTCGCAAGACTGGAGATGAGGAACCAAACATCTGTCCACGTAGGCCACCAAACATCATGAAATGAGGCATATGGTCACTTAAGCGAGGATATCAGTGCATGAAAGCTGAAAAATAAGTGATGAGGAATTTCGCTTAAAAATGTGCAACCGAATAGCACGATCACCATTGATGGAAGAAACAACTGTAAGGACAATGACGCCACACGAACCAAAGATAGAAAACTGCTCCAGAAAATTACAATGGTGGAGTGGTGTACGGCAGTGAAGCACCAGTGCCAACACTGATGTGTCATTGATACGCCACACGAACCAAAGATAGAAAACTGCTCCAGAAAATTACAATGGTGGAGTGGTGTACGGCAGTGAAGCACCAGTGCCAACACTGATGTTGCTGTCATTGATGATGATGAATGGTGGAGTGGCTGAAATGTGGCCTTTGCGAGAGGCAGAGGAGATAATGGTTGTCACACAATCACGAGTAGAACGGACCAATGTCAACGAATTTGTAAATACACTATTAAGGAATGAGTGTTCGGCTGTGCAACATGAATTCTAATACGGCCATGCATCAGCTTACTGCGCAGTGGAACAATCATGTGGTGAAACAGTGCGGTGCGAGTACGCCCATAAGTCTGAATCACATCCGATTCCATCGTGTGCCGGTGAAAGGTTGAAAATGTACACATGCATTTCACGCCCATCCGATGACCAAGGTAACGTGTGCGCTCCGTATATAAGCGCACAGACGACCAGCGACAAAGAAACAACCGCTCGGAACCGGTGTGGGCGTGCAGGAGACACACTCGCTGGTTGAGAGCAGATCAACCATCATACACGGTCACAAGTGAATGATTTAAATAGAACTCTATTTGCATCATTACACAGTTTTTCCGGCCTTCTTGTCGTCTGACTGCAACCCGGTATCATCAGGGAAGGTAAAGAGATATAGCGGATTCCACTTAAGAATGTATGCAGCACTTCAAGACACTGTTGTTCGTGTGTTCTAAATGCAAGTCACCGTCAGCCGAAAGTGCTGTTTCTCATGTCTCGCCAGAGTGGATCAAACAGAAAGGTGGTCACCCTATCGGCCACGATCATGATGAAGGACGGGGGATGACGATGGCTGTCGAGGCTGATCGTGTTGATGATGGTGATGATCAACCCCAATGCACCAACTGATTTGCAGTCACCATCAGCACCGAAAGCATAACATCAGTGTTCAACACTGACGCTGCACTGTCAAACACAATCTACTAGAGAAGCTCATTGTGAATGAAGAGATGGAAAAGGATGAGGAAGAGACCTAATGCTAGCCTACCACAATCACTCAGAGGTATTGCAATGTCATGATTATCCTTCATGTTTATATTGTCGTTTCGTATTACCCATGCTTTCGCCTTCACCTTCACCTTATGTACGTCCATTCATTCAGCCTTGTTCTCGTGCCCAATCGGGATCAATACTCCATTCGCACCAATTCACTTGTCTAGGAATACAATGGAACGGTTGCTGCGAGCAGATCGAAATTCTCCAGATGCCACAACGCGTTAGAATCATTGGTTCCGGACCTTCAAAACGTTTCTGGGCACTGTCGAATCACCCGATCTAGAAAAAATCGAAACATTGATCCATTTTGAGGATGCACCTGTATGCGTTTACATCAATGACTATCCCGATTACGAATCCGCTATCAGTACACTTGAAAGGTTATACGTTCATCTCAAGAATATGATTTATGCTCGTCATCTTCTATAAACTTGCAAGCAACACACCAATCAAGATGTCGATCGGTTTATTCGAAGGCCTAAGTGCTTGACCAGAAGTTGTGATTTCAAGGCGATGTCCACTAATGACCATCAAAACGAAAGTGCACATGATGCACTGATCAACGGATTTCAGTCTACTACCATCAGATAAAGAATTCTGGTTCAAAATGAACTCACTCTCGATGAAGCATATGAAATGGCTAGGTCACCAGAATAGACCCACAAATAAGCTCTGTATACTCGCATAACCACCTGATATCATTTTCTGCAGCTGAAGCACCTACTCCATCTCCCCTGATTCCACACTTCGTCTCTCGTCAAGCAATTTCTAGGTATGTTATTTTGGCGGTCTTTCCAGGCATTCACGATCCAAATGCCTCGCAAGAGAAACAGTTTGTAAACCATGTAGCAAAACAGGCCATTCACTGAGTGTTTGTCGATCCAAATCTGTCAAAAATCACTCAAATTGCAGGACTGATTCTGCTTTATCTCCCCTGTTGATTGCTGCAGCCCCGCACTCATTGACCCGTACGATAACCAGCATAAAGATAAACGGAATATCACTTCACGCCCTCATATACACAGGAAATTCGGACATGTATCTCTTTTGATAGTCGTTACACATCGCTGGAAGATATGTGCTAACGATTCTGTGATTACCATAGTATCTACCTCTCTGACGTGTTCAACTAGTGGCTACTGCTACGCATCCATCGATTACAGGGGTACTGTGTATAAAAACATCAGGCCATTGGTGTTGCGCAATCTACATGTTGACGTGCTGCTAGGCCACGACTTTCTTGGTTTACATAACAAAGTTGAAATCACATTCAGTGCGAACCTAGGTCTATTTGCCCCCTGCGGTCTAAGTGCTGCTACGGTCGAATCACCTCGTCCTTTTGCTAACCTCTCACTCGATTGTAAGCCTATCGCCACTAAATCACGGTGTTATAGCCCAGACGATGAACAGCTGACCC